CGGCGCGGACCGGCACCGACCGGCACGGCGCGGACCGGCACCGACCGGCACACACCGGCACGGCGCGGACCGGCCCACCGCTGCCACGCCCGCCCAGGCAGTGTCCCCGCAGCGCGGCCGGGGCGGGGCCGTGAGCGCAGCCCCGCGAGGCGCCCGCCCCACAACCGGCGTCGCGTCCCCCCACGCGGGAAGAAGGGCGCGTGCCCCGGCACGGCTTCACCGGCGGGGGGCGGCGGCGGCCGTGCTGCCGGTTGGAGGAGAGGGGGCGAGCTGGCTGCCCTCGGGCCGCGTGTGACACCCCCCCCCCCCCTTGGTGCCACCGAGCCCGCGCGCGTCCCGGGCCACCGCGGGCGTTACCGAGCCGGTTGTGGAGGGGCCTCGCCCGCCTCACCTGCGGCGCGGACGCTCAAACACCTGCGAGCCCCGGTGGCGAACGGCTGGGGCTGGCAGTGCGGGTGCAGCCTCTGCTGCGAGCGGTTACCTCATCCTCATCCTCATCCCGGTCCTGTTTTACAGGGGGAGGTGCACCAAGACACACCTCAGCACTGAAGAGCATTGGGACAATGTGAATACATCCCGAGACCTTTTTTTTTTTTTTTTTTTTTTTTCTTTTCCAAACTGGGGCAAGTCTAATAAGGGTCCCCCATACACTCTTCTCCCCTAACTCGAGCAAAAGAGGCGGCTCTTTTTCTGCTGCACAGGCCTAAAACCCAATAAATTCAAACTTGCCCGGAGAGCTGACTGCCTTCCCCTTATCAACTATGTACTTCAGGATGTCCACTAAAGCTTTTTAACAGTTTTATGTTCCACTGTGCTGTGTTCTGGCCCCGTCTCTCCAATTCATCCTCTGCCGGGGTTGCAAGCACATCAGCAGGAGAGAGCTGGCAAGGAACGGGTGTCTCTGTTGCTTGGCTTTAACATGATTCCTCTGAATAGATTCCAGACAGACACTCAATATCTCTGTGAATGTAAAGTGAGGTTTTTTGTGTTTTTTTTTCTTTTTTTTTTTAAAAATGCTGCTGTTTTATTTTTTATACAAACTAAAACACCAGAGGTCATTGAATCCTATATTAAATACATAAATTAAAAAATAACCATTCATAAAACTTTACATACAATAAGGATTCTCTTCTACACGTTAATACATATAATACAGATACATGTCCAGTGTTTATCAAAGGGTCGTTCTGCCAAGTCATTTACAATTCTGTTCTGGAATAGACACCAAAAAAATTGGGAACAAGAAGTATATATAAAAACACACAGGTGCTGATGTGAGGGAGGGCAGGGGAAAAGAAAAAACCCTTTGAATCACCAGCAGCTGTGTGGCTGTTGATTGAACCTTGCCCTAGTGAGGAGAGCCTGGCCTGTTCAGGCCTCATGGGATGCCATGGAACGGAAAGCTTTGAGGGTTCAGAGGATGCTTCCCCCTGAGATGAAGGCAGGGAGTCTGAAAATGAAGCACATCTACAAAAAAAGTCTCCATGGTCCTCCAGGCACATCAACGAGAGGATGGAGCTGTGAGCCAGGCTGATAATACTGCAAGAAGCCCTATCTCCTTCTGCAACCCCAACTGACTAAATTAATCTCACCTAACTAGGCCCTCATCTGAAGTGCTTAAATTGAAAGAATAGTCTTCAAAATCTCCCGGTCAGTGGAGAAAAAGCAGCAAGTCAGATTTGGTCAAGCTGACTTGCACTGCATTATGTGGCTCATCTAGTGCTTTGATCGTACGGATCGCCTGGAGCGCTGGCAGTCCCACTACAGCAGAGGACGGATGGATGGGAGAAATCCAGGGCTATATTTGCTGTCCTCAAAGGCTGTAATAAATTGATTTTTATTTTGCTGGTTGGTTTGGGGGAGGGGAGGTTGGCTGGAGTGACTAATTTGAGGGAACATTCTCAATACTTTGCCTCAATGAATGTCAGGAACAGCAGAAAGCTCTGGATAAGCAAACAGCTTCAGGACAGAGAAGGGGAGAGACCCCAGAAAAACAGATCCGAAAACTAGTTGTCTGTGAGATGTAAAACTAAACCACGAGGAGTGTACCATTTGTGGCAGCTAAATAAGTCTAAATTCAGTTCCCCATACCTAAGTTGGAAGTATATTTTCATAAGCTATAGCAACGATTTACTATGTACAATATGGAATAGATATATGCATATATATGTATATATATGTACATATACATATATACTATATATAGATACATGTATATATATATACACAAACATCAAACTCATTTTGATCTAGCTGACAACAGAAAGTTTGTATTACTCATATCAGCAAGTGTGTTTTAGGCATGGCTTATGTTATGATGCAAGGGGAGTAAAGCAGCTGCTGTTCAGCTCTTGGGAGGGAATGCAGCAATCTTCTAAAAGTTTGCAGACCAAGATAAGCTGTGGACTGTCTACCACCCCCCAGCCCACCCTGAGCCCTCGGAGTACCTGCATGCATATGTACACATAAAAGTAAAGGAGCAGAAATTAGGCAAAAAAGAAGAAATGAAGTAAGATGTGCACAACACATCTCAGAGGGCCTAAATGGTGAAGCCTGCCACAAGACCAGTCAGGTATGTTCGGAAACTAGGTATTTCAATCTGTGCCGTGAACCTTCCCTATGATTGCCTGAAACAAATGTTCCTCATCCTCCTCTGCACAGGTGGAAGTTATTGCACCATCATGGAAAACAGGTGCTGCTCATTGTTCTGCAAGTGCTCTGTGTTTTAATTGCTGGCAGTAATACTAGGAAAAAGTTTCCAGCCTCTATTTAGTTGCAAGATGCTGCAGCCATGAAATGAACTGGTACTGCAACTGAGGAAGTGTAGAAGGAAAAGAGGGAATAACCAGAGAGGAAACTCCCCCTTTTGTAGCTAATAAGATATTGTAAAGTTGCTTAGTGATCTAAAGGTGTCAGAGGTGTGGGATGAGACTCTCAAAGGGCCTGATTCCAAAGCTCCAGGACTGAACTGCTAGCAGTACCCTTGGAAAGCACATGCAGGTTTGGGCCAACCTTATCCACAGATTCTTCTGTGGGGGGAAAAGAATTTGAACAAAGAGCATGCAACATACCTGTATTAATTTAACATACCTGCCTTCAAGCCTGTTTTTAAAAAAACGAATCAGAATTAACAAACATACAGTTGGTGCAAAATTCAGTAAACTCTTTGACTGAAACAAACTGCTTCAAGATATGGTTACTCTGTAACTTTAGTTCTAAGGAGCAGGAAAAAAAAATCACTTGCTAATAGCTTCTAACCTTTGATGGAAGGCTTAAGACAATCTCAGGGCATGCAATAAATGAAGATGTTAGGAGTCTTTGTGAAGAAATGGAGCCCAGCATTGCAATCCAGTTGGGTGAATGGACATTAATGATTAAAAGCTATTCTGGACAAAAAATAGCTGTTAGGGGCTGGCATCCTCAATACTAGAGGAACTTCATCACTGCTATGGCCAAGGAGCTGCTTTTGAAACCTGCTGAGTTGCTGTGGCAAGTTACTTCACTGCTTTGTGCCTCAGTTGCTTCATCTGTAAAAATAAACAAGCTAACAAAGGGAAGACTTTTTGTAAAGCACTTTTAAAGCTTCTGATGGGCAGAGTCGGTGTGCGTAAGATGTTGGTACATGCGAGCCCTGTTTTGAAGGTTTAAGTAATGCACAGGCTGTATTCTGGCCCTTAGTTTTCTATATTGTAAAACAGACATCCATTTCTCCCAGTTAAAATGAAGGCTCCATCGTGAAAGACACAGCTCATATAAGGAGCCTTGCCACAGGAACCTGAAGGCTAATCAGGCACGACTCCATTTCCAAGGAAATGAAAACAGAGGCACAGAGAAGTGCATTGTCATGCCTAGCTCATCCAGCACATCAGTGAGAAAAGGGAAGATGGGTGCAGCTGGCTGCTTTGCTCCCAGCAGGCCCAGGACCTTCACACTGTTTACCGCAGGTGTGACACTCCTCAGGGTTCGTTTCTTACTAACTACAGGGGGCACGGACATGTGATGCCTCAGGGAGACACCAGGACTGGGTTCCAGGCTTTGTGATTAGAGGTAAGTAATGCTTCGAAATGCAAACTACTTCTAGTTGTTCTTAACTGTGGAAAAATCTAAACAGACTAGCGATACTTCTTCTTACTTATAATAAGGATGTGTTCACACAGCTTTTCCCCATTTTTGGTTTACATGTCATTGATCAGGAAGCCAGCTAACAAAGTCAGTTTGACAAGCCAAACGAAAACATTTGTTCCAAGCTGGGACAAAATAGTTGGAAGCTGATGCTTTGTGGATCATACCACATGGACAAGGGGGTTGACTTTTTTCCCCTCTGTCCTCCAACATAATTCTTGTCTTTCTCAGAAGCTGCTCTGTAAGTCCAATCCAGCGATCCTCTGTGTATTATTCAAATAGTAAAACCAAGCATAGTCATTATTATCTCAACTGCAGTCTTTAAAGAGTAAGAAAAGTATCTGACAACAAACAGACTGTTCTTCATGGAAGGAGGGTGAAGAGAGATAAGGCTACAACTCTGTCAGAAATTCTCCTCATGCCAGACTCCCTCTTCTTCCCCTTCTTTGTTGAGTAGGGTGGTGCTTTGTTATGATCTCAAGCACAAAACGTGGTGCCCTGTCCTGCCCACCCTGCAGTAAACCAGAATGCATTTTTCCTTTCTTCCCCCCACATTGCAGCTGTCATTTGTTCCTGAGGTTAAAACCAAAGAAGGAGAGGAGTCCCTGCAGTGAGAAAGCTAGACAGTTCAAACCAAATGCTTTGTTGTCAGCATCTCTCCACGGCTCGTGTTTCTCCTGCTCTGTCCTGTTAACTTTTGATCCATTCATGGGATGACAGTGGCACATTTAAACAACTGCCCTGCACAGCAGGGATAGATTTTTCTGTTGTAACTTTGGTTCCATGCCCAAGACACACTGACTTGATCAGCTGAAAGTGGTTCCTTCCCTTTAAGTTCTTCCTAAGTGACATAGGTTCACAGTTTATTTCTCTTTCCCTTTTGTAATTTCAACATACAGAATTTTATTAGATGCAGCATATATCATAGCTTTAGACAGGAACTGTCAAGTAGCAAATCTTGAGTGATGGCTTTAAAATACAAGGTGGTTACAGTCTTGGCTACAGGTTGTTCCTTTTTATACTTTTTAAAATAGGTGTAAACAATGTTCTCTTCATCAGGGGGATGGAAGCATTTGCCTTTATAAGCACTTATCTGGGTGGTCGGTCACTCTAAAAATAAAAAAAAAGAACATCTGTATCAGGTAAGTTATAAGGTCCTCTACCTACCTACCCCAGCCAAGATGCAGTCTATCACTCACAAAGTTGAAAAGGTCTGTTCTTACAGTTATCCTTGTTAAACTGTTTCTGTTTGTATGAAAGGTATTTGTGAAAATTCTGGGTATTTTGCCAAGCCTGTCCATTTAACCCTCTAAAATACAGCCCTCTGGTCCATTAAAGTCCTCATGGGCGTCTTCAAATTAATAATTGTGCACCAGTTTCAATAACTCTTTAACAAAAGCTACCTAAAATTCACCAGTGACAGGAGACATGACAGCAGGTGATATGCTTGTGGTGTCAGGACAACCCCAGAACTTTCGCTACTGCAGCAAATACAGACTGTTCCTGTTCCAAGCAAGCTTTCCTTACCTATGGAAAAGAATTGCAGTTCTCAGGTTTGAAACCAGGGAAAAAAGGGTGTATTTTGTCTTTGCTCTCTCAGTACTCAAGTCTACAAGGTAAAATTTACTGAGTGCAAAATCCATGCAGACCAGACCTCCTTATGTGGTCACAAATAAGTGAATGTATATAAACACAGAAAAAAAGGCAGGTAGGAAAATCCCACATAAACAGAAAGTAGAGAGCTTCTGGATTGGATCCTATATATTGCTCCACATTGTTTCATTCATGCTTGTCCTTCCTTATCTGAAAAGTACAGCAGTGAGAGTGCTGTGCTCACTCTGAGAGAGAAAGAAACCAGAAGGTATCTGCGATTGCACTGTGGCTTTCTCTCAGCTAGTTAAAAGGTCAGTAAAGGATAAACTGCAGCAAGGCATGAGCAAAACCAAAGACCTTTCATCAAATGACTCCCTAGGTAATTTTCAAGGATGCATTATGATTTTTTTTGTTGTTTTATCAAGGATCTGTTTGAAGTGTCTTATGATAAGGTTAACTTGCATCTTGTGGAAATAAAGCAATTTTGCAAAGATCCCCCTGATGACATGTATCTCGGTAGTTCTAAGAACCAGAAACGCTGATGGCACACTCCCCGTGCCATGCTCACCCTTGTTGAGTTACTCCAAATGCCAAAGTCTCCTGGATAGGCAGGTGGTTTTTAAAGCAAATGGGAAACACAAATCAATGTCAGTTATTCTGTTTCCATGTATTCCAGCCTCAGGAAATATGACCTTGCCAAAAGTCCCTCTCAGTCTTGCCAACACCATTCCCAAATTGCTTCTCTCTCAAGATTTGCCCTCAGGTATTGAGGGGTGAGGATCCCATAGAGGGAAATGGAAGGGGTGAAGACTGGGATCAGGCAGGGGATAAGGAGCTAACAACTGCTTACCACTGCTTTGTTTTTGAGGAATTGCTGCAAGACTTGATGCTTTGCACTTGTAGACTGACTTGCCTTGGTAAAACATTCTACAGATATCATGCCTGCTGTGATGCTGGGCCTGCTACAGCTGTCTTTACAGTTCAAGGGAGTTCACAGCAACACATATCCTCTGGAAAAGTATTGAGTTTATATATCCCACACACACACCTTGCCCTTAAGATTTTTCCATTTTCATAGTCAGCATCCCATTCTCTACATCACTATATCTCCACCACTGTCATGGCTACTTCCTCTGCCGTTCAGCTCACAGTAATCCATCTTCTTGTTCCCTGCCTGACATTCATAGCCAAATATGAAAAAGCAGGATGGGGAAGGCAAAAGAATCATTCATCTCCTGGGTGGTTCTAGGAGTGGTACAACACACCAGTAGGCTCTCCTAGGCTGTAAACCACATTTCAGCTTGCTCTGATGCTTCTCGTCCTCTCTACGGGCAGTAGGGATACAAGTCATTCAAACTAGAGCCTCCTGTGCTCCCGGGGCCAGTGTCTATGGAGCAACACTGAATCCAGTGAGCAAAACTCTTCTCAGGTGGGCACTGTAGTTAGAGCAGCCTTCCTAAGCTCTGTGAAGTTACACCAAAGAGATATGCACCTGCTAAATCTTAGATGTTGTTTAAAACAAGCGGAAAAACTGTTGAAGGAGATTGGGCCAGTGGGGCAGTAGGGGAGGAAGTGAAGTCTTGACGTGGTCCCTAAGGGATCTATGTAAAACCCCAGCAGTGAAATCAGCCTTGATGCTGCTCTGGTTCCATTGCAGCTGGAACAGTCCTGTCAATCCTGAAGGGATCAGAAAAACACTTATGTTTCTTTTGACTATTAGTCCTTCTCAGTTAATGCACCAGTGAGGAGTGCATCAAATTAGCGGAGAGCTTGTACGAGATGTGACCCAGCAGCCACATGCAGGTAGAAGAATGTCTGCGAGTGAGTAACAATAAATCTGCTAGAATTTTAGGAGGAATGTAGAGTTCTGACTTTAAACACCTCATTAACTTTTCTAACCAGACAATATCTGCCCTCAAATTAGGCCAAAAGGGCAGAAGTGTTATCAGCAAATGTGCAGGTTTTGTTGTATTTTTTTGATGGCCCTGATTCTTCTCCTTTTATATGTGTGGTTCTCCCCTTCCTGCTTTGAGAAGAGGGAAAGGATGGCTCCTCTGCAACAAAAAATTCAGTCTGCCTTTGAATACATTGCAGAGCTAATTGTGAGGCTGCTAAAACATGTTTTTTCTTAGTATGCAGACACTGAAATGTTAAAGGGCACTTGAGATATTTTCACAGGCTCCATGACAAAGAGTTAATCAACACTGCTGGAATTCCACTGTCATAATAATAGGGTTTTTTTTTTTTTAGTATTTTGAGAAATGCTTATTTCAAAATATATCAGTATATACCTACAATTCCTGAAAAGCCAAGTGACTCATCTATGTTATGTCGGTAATTCTTGGTTCATCTTCCTTTCTCTTCTGTCCTGGCATACCAAAACCATGAATATGGCCTCAGGAAGCATACACTGACATTTTTGTCCTGGGACTAGAGATTTCCTATTCTAAGTTCAATTACAGGTGGATTAAGTTTTTCATATGAGTCATCTTTTCTAATGAAAAATGTCATATCTGTAAACAAAAATTATTTTTATACATCTTTGTGGATCTTTTTGGCATTTGCATCTACCACTGATGGGTTTTTTTAACTTCTGAAAAAGTCCTTTCAAAACTAAAAACAATTTAAAAAAATCAGGAAGACAATATGTCTTGATGAATTCTAATATTAATGAAAATTTTAATTTTTATTTCTCAGGATGCATGCTCTACTGCAAAGACTTTGCTGAGTGCTCCATCTTAAAAGAGACGGGCTTAGGAAAAACTGTTCAGTAGTTTAATGTCATGACTGCATTTTTAATCAAGGTGACCTAAACTGAGCAAGGGATATATTTTGAAGCACATTTTCAAAGAAGAACCCCATAGTTTCTATTTTTTCTTCCACCATAGCTGATACCAGCATTGGTAAAACTGATGTATAAGATTCTTACTAATTATGTAGCTGTGCCAGAAGGGACAAATACTCAATAGAAAACCAATTCCATACCCATACAGGTGGCAAACATATGTGCAAAATGGTATATACAGAAAATTCTGAACCTCTTATTGCCCCAGTTTTTCTCATACGCTTCACAAGGACTTTACTGTAGCTATGATAGAAACTGAAAAAAGGACAACCGTATAGCCAGATGCGGAAAACTCATACAGACAGGTTCTTGCAAATGTCACTGTCAGTTACTGTGAGTTTCCAAGGTGCACCTTAAATCCAAGAGGTTTGGGTGGGTTTTTTTTTGTTTGTTTGTTGGGGGTTTTTTTAACTCTCCCTCCAAGTTGGCTGCTTTTTTATGGACTCATGATTCTATCATACAGCAAAAGACAGCCATATAAAATTATCTGACACTACTGTGTACTGTGAAAATTTTGGCTTCTTAAAATTAGCCTATATATAATTTGGCTCTTTCAGAAGACTTTCTGATTTCTTTTTTCCCCAATATGAATAAGCAAGAAACTGTGAAATCAAATTTTCACCAGTTACGGCTACTCAAAATATCTCACAACTGCTATACTGCATCATGGTTCCCAGAAATCCTGCGGCAGGAACATTAGTAAGTATGCAGTCATAACTTCATCTGTTTAATGTTCACTGGATCGAGGCAATATGTTTTAAATAGCAGCAACTCTACAATGATGTTGGCCATTGTTTATAAGAGCTGTGATCACTGTTCTGTCCACGTTCCTCTGGTTCTCTCCTGTGGTTCATTCCCCAGTCAACCCAACCTCCATGTATATTGCTGCTTCATCGCAATAAAACATTCATGTTGAGGTCTGGCCAGCCAAGGAGGCAGTGGATTCTAGTTGATGTGGCTAATTTTGGGATTTGTCTCTGCATCAGCACAAAACTGCAAAAGAAATCCTTGATCTAGCTGAAACAAAGCACAAAATGGGGCTTTTCCTTAAAGGGAAAAGGAAAACCCACCGAACTGGACCCATGCCACTTAGCTATAATCAATACCCTGAAATGCACCTGGAAACAAAGGCTGAGCCAGTACAAATGGTGGAAGGGCATAGCAAAATATCCTTCACACACAGCTGTATTCTCAGCTTGCCTCAAGTGCAGGGTAGAAGAATTTATTCACTGACATAGCTCAAGCCAGAGCCAAGAGATACAGTGAGAAACTTAACGATATGGGTCTGTCCCCAAATCAGAAAATTTTGATCTGTCATTACATGTTTTTGAGTCTTTAACATAACATCTAGGCTATGTTCTACTTCTGTTATCCTGGATCAGAAGAAAGATCCTCCTAGCCCAGCCTCCTGGTTCTGAAACTGGCCAGGCACAGAGGGAAAAATGTGAAGGCCATGCACTTTATAATTCCTCAATTAATTTCCCCATCTTCACTTTGCTTTTTGAACTCTGAGCTTTTATCTGCTAAGCATGATATGGCAAAGACTTCTTTACATCCTACATATTGACTATCAATTTCTGTTTACTTTAAACTTATTACATGATAATTGCTTTTACTGGAGAACTCAGTGAACAATAGCAATCTATCCACCCATCCATTCTATGAAAAATTTTCTAAACCTTTCCCTTACCTCATTTTAACTGTGTCTCATTCTCTGAGCCAGAAAAATCCTTCCATCTCTCTGTCTCCCAGTCACTGATCATTCTTCCTTGCCCTTCTTTGTATCTCTCCTTCTGGGCACTGAGCTCTACCTGCTTATAGCCTCCCGATCTATTTCCTAAGTGCCAGTTCAGAGCCCACCACAGTGTGTGTAAGGCTAAGAATTGTAACTGTTTTCCATCTGCATCACTTTGCAAACATCAACATTTAATTTCACCTTCAATTCTCTTGGCGGTTTGATATAGTGAAATTCTTGTTAGCTTTTATTTTTACAATTCTGCATAGCACAGTATCACCAGCAAGCTTTGGCAATTCTCTTACAAGTATGTTGGATGGTGTTGGTCTGACTGCAATTCCCTGTGGCAACTCAGTAATGTGACGGCCCTTCATTGTGAACTACTACAAATTGAAAATAACCTGCAGAATTCTCTGACTCCAGACATACACAAGAACATACAAGGATGTGTCCCTCAGCTCTGTGCAAGAGGTGCTAGCTTTGAGGAAATAAATAAAATAGTCTTACCTTTCAAAGAGGCACATTGACATCAAGGCCAAAGAATAAAGGCAAGAGAGAAGAACAAGAATAGAAATAGAAACTGCAGAAGAAAAAGAAAAATGCATAAAAACTAAAGGTCATATCATTGCAATCATCAGGATTATTTTTGCACTCTGTAGGACAATTAGAATAACTATGCATTCAGAAAACACTGTATTTCCCTAGTTACTTCTGTAAGTACCATGCCACCTCCCAGGCTTAGAAAACAGATCTCATTAATTTTGGTGATGAATTACAATGGGCACCATATTGAAAGCCTGAGGTACAACTTTCATTATGAACCACCGTGGGTTTACTGAAGTCACAAATCTGGTTATCAAAAATAGCATGGGTAATATTTTTAAGTGCATTAAAAAACAGTGCCTTCAATCCATGCTGGAAATAGCCTGGGAATATGCATATATGTATATATGCACACACATGCATAATATAACCCTAGCCATTAAATATTTAATAATCAATTTTTGGATGTCTCATTTTAATCATGAATGCATCGTCCTCCTAAATGTGACTTTTTGTGAATTGAAAGCTCTTTTGAAAATTGACACTAAAAAGTCTCCTATTCAAGGTCTCTATTTGACCGTGGTGTAAGTTTTGCTTTATTTTTTTTATTTTCATTACAGATTATCATGTTATTTTTCCAAGTTTTATATATTTTATATATATATATATATACTAGAAAAAAAGACACTGAGTTCTTGTATCACAAAAACATTGACAGAAAAGAGGAAAGAATTATGTGTATCAAGCTTTGCATTATGCCCACTTGTTTCAGTTTAGGAACATACATATAAACTGGAAGGGCACTGCTGTCATTGTACTAGTACAGCCATTGTTTCATATTGTAGTTTACACATGGGCATTGATATTTACTAATATAAGTAACTTGGCAAGGCTACCACTGTAGATGCATCTTACAACAGTCTGGCATTTCTAGAAAAGACCTTATTGGTAGCAGTATGCTGTTCCCATGCTATGATCTTTTTGCAAAAATCCTATCTAACCTGCGTAAAAGTACCAAAACTCAATGTGACACAGTTGGCCTTATTCACCAAAAAAAATGCAGTACAAATTTTTACAGAAGAGTGTGTATGTAAATATATAGTATATATAAAGAATGCACATATATAGTTCTTTGACAGTTCCTTTTAAGGGCAAGATTCTGGTACTGTGTTTATATTGCATAATCAATTACAAGCTTCAATAAAGAGGATAGCATCAGAACCCCTGTTCCCTAGTCCCACCAGAAAAGGACAGTCTTCAAATCTTCACTCAGTTTCATTCAGTCCTCCTTGCTTGCTAGCCTCACCTCGCCTTTCATGGAAGTATTGCCTGACTACCAACACACAATTTAACAGTCAAATAAAGACTTAAATCATTTGGTACAGTATCATTCACCATAACTAGGTCATTACTTTCAAAAAAGTTGATCAGTGTACTTCAGAAGTGTAACAGAACCAACCTTTTCCTCCAGATCCTTAATTTGTCTCTTTTGGATGTCAGTTTTATCTTCTAAATCTCGGATCCTCTGGAAATTAGAAAAGAAAGCATCTAGACTAAATTCTCAGTAAATTTGCTCTGCTGAACAAGTTACTTAACATTCCAAGTGCCAAAAGCCTAGAAACTAACAAATCCATTTCTCTGGCAAGGATAATCTTGTGTAGAACCACAGACTCCATTCATCCCTGCCTAACCACAACTTTGCAATGTGTACAACTGCTCAGAATAGGCTACTGCATTATCGACAGTAGATCTGTTGCATATTATCTATTTTATATTAATCCTGCGTTAAATAGATGGAAAGCGTAAAATCATGCTTATACTCTTTAGAATTTTATCATGATTCATTAAGATTTCTCACAGTTTGATGTGTTGAAAGAGTATTAAAGTGTTATTATTAGATCTGAAATTATAAACACATACAGTACTATGAAAACATTGATTCTATGGAGAGTGAGATACATGTAACTTATCAACGAGATGCATTTTTTTAGCAGAGCTAGGTAATACCAGAAAAATTATGTAACATGAGTTAAACTTTTGGCCACTTGGGAAGAGATATCCCACAGAACAGGTAACAGAACTTCTAAGTATGAAAAACAAGGCTTTGAATCTCAGTATGTTGCCTCTATTTAATCAGGGCAGAAGACAGCTGGCCAGCAAACAGCAGAGATCCAAAAGAACAAACCAGGAGACACCTGGAGGCCCTGGCACCTGGGGAGCAGATGGCATCCCTGTGACCATCTTCCTAATTGTCTGGAGATGAGATGACTAGATTATGGCAGCTGTCAAACATGACCTCTTCCCTTCTTTGCCTCTCAGCCTTTCCCAACTCCATCTGCAACTGAGGCTGGCTAAGAGTTGTTCAAGGAAGCCAGAACTGCTGTGGCAGCGTTAATAGGGGCAGCAGTCATGGCTGAAATCCAGCAGCTCCTCATGCTGCAAAGGCCTGGTAAGGAGGACAGGAGGACCGGTCTCAAGTCTCCAACTCGTGATCAGGCAGGACTGTGAAAACTGAGTCTTCCTGTGAACCACAAACCCTAACCACTGTGCATGTGCCTTCTCTCATACTCCCATCAACATTCGAGTAAGTTTTGTTTCATTGTGCAGCTGTCACATTGATCAGCATGCTGCGACTGTTTGCCATTTTGCTGTGAGACCTCACAGCACAACTGGTCTTTGAATGTAAAATGCAGTATTGTATCTCAGCAGTGAAACGTAACAACTGTCCACTTTGAGGCACCAGAGCAGAACTGTCTGGAAAAACAGATAGCTCTCCTGTCTAACAGAAGCCAAAAGCATTCATACAGTTCCTTTTATGCCCAGTCCAGTAACTAGGGATGACCATTTTTATTACAAAGCGAGATTCATGGAGACAAAATACTGGATGAACACTCTGGTTTGGAATTTTAAGACTCAACATATGCCAAAACAATCCTCCATAAGCTAATATTAGATGTGTTTGTGTACAAGGTAAAGACACAAAGTATGAAGCAACTCAAAAAAAAATAGATGCCATGCTCCCTCATGACCTGGAGCTTGCCTAAGTTTTACCTCAGCTTGTTCTTATACAGTAAAGCTGAGTAGAAACGCATGTCCTTGGTTCTTTTTTTCTTACCTGATGAGCCTGCTGGAGCAATTCCATCCTCTCCTGAAGAATCTGGCAATCATATTCTCTGCTTTTCCTCAGCATCTGACGTCTTAGCTTTTCTACTGCTGTCCTCAGCTCTTCCTGCTGTTTTTCAGTGAGTAGTTCCCCAAACTTTATCACCGTTTCTTGCTGCAAAGCATTGTACAAGGTGGCTTCAAGCTCCTGGATCCTCTGGTTGATGCAATACCAAAAGCCAATTAGAGATGAAGCATTGTTTAAAGCACAATGGGAACTGAGGGGCTGCTGGCAGATTCAGGCACCTGCATGAGAGGTGGTCCCTGTACTCAAGTGTGCAAAAATGTGAAAAACAAACTCATAAAATGGATCAGTATGTCAACAAAAGGATACGAACTTTTATTATGAAAACAATAGTAATTTTAATTGAAATCCCTCACTGACTTTTTTTTAAGCAGTTACAGAGATGATTAGGAGTTGGATAGCATTTTCATACCTATTTTATAAGTGTAAAGGTGAATCTTTCACCAATTCTAAAATTTTGACCCATTGTGCTAAAAAAACAAAAAGAGGAAAGATTGAAGGTCACTATCAGACTAGTGTGCTCTTAATCCTGCAAATCAGTGAGCATTCTCATTAACCTGACAAACCAAACATGATAAACTTGCACAGGCAGTTATCAGATCCACATATCAAAATTTGATAAAGCAGTGTTCAGAGCAGGAACTCTTGCTTTTTGTAGCATATTGTCTCCTTGCTGCGACATATTCAAACCAGCCAAGATTCCAGATCTGAGTTCCACTTGGTTGCACTAATTCCAGTTGGACAAGACAACATCAGTGAGCAATATCTGCCTTTAACTGACAAAAGAATTTCAGACTTCAGGAGATCTGCCTTTTTGTGACGTGAAAAAGCTAGCTGTCATATTGAAGCTGTGCAGATTGCATAGTAGTGCACTAGTTAGAAGAACAGGAAAAAAAAACAAATAGAAAAAGATACTAAACAAAAAGCAAAAACCTCTCTTCCTGATCCAACAGGAGTCTGTGTCCTGTCACACTGCTGGCCAATATGTGCTGTAGAATTTCCTTTGTACATACCATGTATGCTTGGTCAAGAGCTTGCTTCCTGTAGTCTAATTCTTCCTCCAAATAACCTTTTATTTTGCAAAATTGCTCCTACAATGAAGGATCATTTGGACAGAAAAATGAATTAGTTACTCAAAATACTTCGGGAAGTTTTATTAAGTCAACTACAAATATCTGACTCAGAGAGGACTAGGAGCCTGGTCTTCAACTGACACTGCAGAATTATTAGTATCTGACTTGGCTAGAAAAAAAGGGAAAATAGCTGTGCACTGCCTTTGCATGAGAATATATCTGATTTACATGGAACTAAATACATGTCTTTTTTTATTTCAGTGGTATTGCTTGGTATTTCAGTAGTGCAATTTAGGGGTTTCTGTGTGATTTTTCTAAAGATGCCTCCTCTGGCAACATGGACAACTTCTTTTGTGCTTTCTCTTATTTTGGAAGAAGTGTGAAAGTGCAATAAACTAAACAGGAACTAAACAGGCATATTCACATTATTTGAGGTAAGCTGCTGTGATTTAACTTCTCAGCCTACCTCTAGCTGAATTGACTCAAGTACAGACATACCATAGGAACAGAAGATAAACCACTACAGTTATCCAACTCTTGTAGTTACACTTGTTCATCTTGTAGGTTACTTCCATTAACAAGAGTAGGAATAGGGTAAGGTACTAACTTTACTGGTGGTATAGCAACTTCAGTTCAGCTGTGAATATTTTACCTTTAGGATGGTATGGGCTTAAAATGCAATGAAAGAAAACAGCGTGATAATTCGTTTTTTTCCCACATACTGGTATTGAATAAAATGTCATACAATAGCTGATGTTCAGGCTGTGAATCCTCTAAGACAAAGGCAGACGTTTACATCTCTGAAAATCACTGAACAACCTTCAAGACCTCTGTATTTATTAATAAACAGTCATCCTCATGAGAAGAGAGAAGAAGATTTCAAATCTTTACTATTTCTGTCTCTGTTATTCTGTTGTTGCATGTGAACCAGACTAGTAACAATTTTATGGATTCACCAATAATCAGAGAAAGCCTGCACACTTAATTTGCCAAAAGACCTTTTCAGTTATCTTTGGGCACACCAAGTAAATGTGACACACGCAGTGTCTTGCCCCTAAAATGTGTATTAAGGCATGTCTGCTTACCATATCACTTTCCAGTTCCATCATCTTTTGATGCAGAGCAGCTTCAGCTCCCTCAATCTGCTGGATCCACTGGAGGGAAGACAATGAGAACTGTAGCCTGATGTGTTTTCTAGGCACATGCGTAGTAGCAAGTGGGACATCTACAGCACCTTGTTAGTCTATTTTTAGTAACCTATTGCTAGTTCTCGGCCCATCTTAAGGCTGTTCTCCTGTGACAGGGGCAGCTGCAGTGTCTGTAGGTAGCACTTGACAGAGAAGAAGCAAGAGATCACCTTTACTGGGTCACTGGAAGATGGAAAAGGACACTTCCTTAGATGAACAGGGAACCCATTTCATCCATGGATAAGGGGCTCTAGCATCTCAAAAATAGCTTAGATGGGTAATGGCAATTTTCTTTGCAGAGGAGAAATTATTGAATAGAATCCTTGGAAGTTGTCATGTTGACAAAATTGCACGCTGCATCTGAGCCACAGAAAGCAATTTTAACCAACCCTCACTTTCTTTTTGATTTCCAAAACAAGGAACTAGATAAATACTTTCAGTGGAAATTTTGCATACAGATCTCTTCAGAGGCTTTGGAAATCTCAGGACTATCCCACACTATAACTAATTACGTCTTAAATATCTGATAGTTTCTCATTCAGTTTACAACTGCAAGTTTCATTTGACATCCTTTTTATATTTGCATTATTTTCATATTTATATTTGACATTATTTCTATATTTATATTTTTCTATTTGTTTAGACTTCACGGCTTGGGGCAGCTGAGTTTTATATTTTTGCTGTTTTAGCAAGGTGTTTGGGACTGTGCTGGCAGTTTACTTTATCTCAGTAATCACTTCCTACACTAGAAAGTTTAATAATATTGACAACAACAGAGCAGAAAATTTCCAGTGTTAGATGAGGCCTTAGATAACACGTGAAAAAAACAAGCACACAATTTACCTTTTCTGCCAAGGACAACACAGTGGAAGCCTGAATTATGGCCACTTGTTCTTCATTTCTTAAATTCTGTTAAGAGAAAAAGAGAGAAGAAGAGAATTGGCAGCAGTTTCCTGCGTGAATAAAGATAATCCAGGCTACAGACTAGTTCTACAGTTTTCAAGGGATCCCTGTAGTACTGGGTATCTTATTCCCATCGAAACATTCAGAGTCTGTTAACATATTAAAATAAACACTGCTTTTGTCTTTCTGCATGATATAGACAAACTGTATGTTTTAATTCCATTGCATCTTATGAGAAATGTGAACTAAAATTAGACCAATTTGTCTGTCTTCATGCTAATTTTACAAAGCTAAATCTCCATTAAAGCTTTTGTAAAAATACTGCTGATTTACACCAGTACATTAATAGAGAATCATGATCCTTCATTTTTATTTCTTATACATTTTCTTAAAGCATATCTAATGGTGGCCACAGAAAGAGGATGACCTCTTTTACATGGATGACTAAAGCGGGCAGCAATGCCCACTTAGCCACAGGGGATTTGGTAATTCTTGCCTATTTATGAAAATGTTTGTAGAGGAATCCTAGTTCTGATGAAGGCATGGTTGGCTCAGACTGCCAAACTAATTCACGTGCTTTCCTGAATGACTTGAGTGCAGTCAGGCCCAGTTCCAATTATCAGTGGCCTCTGGACATACTTCCCAGTCTGCTAAACCAGATGTTAAAGCTGCTAATTCATTACTAATTCTCTGACTATTGAAATCTCACAAATCCTTAACTTAAGGAAATAAACACTCCTTAAATTAGTTGTTCCGATATTACATAATTTAACAAGTATCTTAAAAAATAGGATAATTATAGATTTTACTTACACTACTGTACAAAATGCAGCCTGTAAAGGGAAAGTATCTCCCACTTTAACTTACCCCATTATCACCTAGGATGTCTAACTGCTTTATGAGGTCTGGGATGCTGACATCCTGCAAAGAAAGAGTAAGATAAAGGCACGGAATGCACATTTTATCACAGTCTCAATACTCATCCCTCCTATGAACCATGTTGAAATCAGCCATTTCATTTTATCCCACGGAAATGCATCACACACTGATTTCAGTTGCCTTGGAGCCAGGTTTTATCATTATGGTGAAAATTATGAGTCCAATTCGATTGTGTCAGTTATCACACATTCCTACATTAGACTGAATTTAAATGCTTAAAGTATAGTGGATTTATTAGCAGAGATTAATGTCATCAGTTATATGGGCAGCACCCACCACTCCTGTAGTTAGAAGTGCTGCCTTATAAAACTGACCTACCTTAACTCCTTCCTTCATGCAGTAGATCTGTAGAGCACTGACACCATCTGAGAACGGGTGAATCTGGAGATTAAATGGTGGGGACCGCCTCTCTCTTTCCTGAAAATAAATTGAAAAGACACCAGAGAACATATTAGAATGAAGGAGATGCACACAGAACTTATTAAATGCCATAGCTACTGTTTATATTATATTTTGCAAAGCCAAGCTCCTAATTTTGTAAGTCAAATAAATAAACATTTAGACTTAGTCTGAAAAACAGTGTGCCAAGTGCAGTAAGATTCTAAACCCAAGATAATTATTTTACAGGGTATTGTTTATTTGATGAATTATGTTAACTGCAAATTGACACCTGGTTAAGACTCAAGTAATTTGCTTAATGAGTTGTTGAACAACTATATATTGTTGTAAATACTCCTCTTAGAAACAGGTATTTAAGACTACTAGGATACTCACACATCATCCTGGTATTTTGTATGTTCTAATATCTGTGGAAAGTAGTAAGTTCAAAAAAGCTGATCAACTTAGTTGGTTATACATCTTCATTGCATAAAATCTACATATATTTGTCCAGTTTTAAAAGACCAAAGACAAAAACAAAAATGTGAAGATGTTTTTTCTCATCCTTTTCGGGTATTCAGGCGAGCACAGAAGTGAAGATAAAATTTCACCTTCAAATAAATTTTTGGTTTATGACTATGTAAGTCACTTGATCAGTCCAGTTCCATGTCATATGGAAACACAGCTGTCAGCTACAACTGTGGGAAAGCTATATAAATAAGGGACAAATCTGTCCCAGCACTGATTCGTGAGAGCCAGAAAAGGCTCTGTGTTACCTACAAGCTCGGAATGGCAAGTATATAAGGCCTTGGACATCAACTAAAAAGAACAACTGAGAAATAAACCAACTTACACTGGAGAAAAGACCAGCTAGAAGTTTTTGTCACTTAGTGCTCATAACAAGAATCTGTAACTAGGGACAGTCTGAGAAGGAGCTTGAGGTCCAACCCAGTTCTCTGACCACCTGCAGAGGCTTCTGAAGCTCCTCCATCAATCTCCAGTGTCACCTGAGGGACCTTTCTTACCTAATGCAGGTCATGAGGAGAGATGCTCAACGAGGAACATGTCCAGTGCCTGCAAAAGTGATTGTGCTTGCAAGTAGACAGATAGGCTGTTGCTATTCATTGTGCTAGGGCCTCCAGCCACAAATTAGGACAATTCCAGGCAAAGCACTATACGCACGTAAGCAGGCACTGTTGGCTTTCCAGACATGCCAGCACTGGCAAGAGTGACGATAAAGGCTGTAGGAGCAAGACCACATTCACCTGTATCAATCGTCTCTTATCCCCACCACAGTGTCAGGAAGCTGAGGTACAGAGAGATCAAATCTGAACGTGCCTCAGGAATCAACAGCACAGAAGCCGTTGCAAACCCGTGTCCTGGGAGCCTGTGCTGCCTGGGCACCTTGGCTCTGTATGCTGGCTGTCCCGGGGGGGTCAGAGCAGGGCGGCAGCACTGGCACAGCCCAGCCCACAGCAGCGGCCCCGGGGAGTCGCAGACGTTCCCCAGCAGAGCCAGAGTGGCCTGAGGGCTGTCGTGGGCCTTGCTTCAGCCCCCTCCACCACAGCAGACAACACGTGGGTTTCTCCTCTGCAACGAAGGGTGCTCTAATCGCCCAGAACAGATCGGTTTGGGTGAGGCAGCCCCCCTCTCCTCTCACAGCCAAGTCCCCACAGAAAAATGAATTCAAGATTTCCTGCGACAGAGGAGACAAGGTACAACCCTTTTACCCCCATAGGTGTGGTACTGGAAGACAACAGCCCTGGGTCTGATACTTTCTATTACAACTGCTTATGCAATTTCATCGATCATTGCTGAATTAAACTTCAAACAGTTCCAGTCCTTCAAGCACAGGGCTAGAGAGGTGCACTTCTCACAGCAGCACTCTCAATGAAACTTCAACTCTTGTCTCATCACCCTCGCTGAAAGAGGGGAAAAAAACAAAGACAGTATAATTTACAGATCAGAATTTTCACATGGGGGAAAAAACAGGTCTTTGAAGACCCTGAAAAGGGAACTGCACCTGCATCTCTGACTTCTTAGAGGACCATTCTACTCTTCAGCTAGAGATAAAAGTGTGCTGAACATTTCCTTCTCCTCCAAGACCTGCTCAGGTTCACACACACACAAAAAAAAAAAAAACACAACCCTGGATGCCTCCTCTCAGGGGAGATCTTAGCTGTGAACTAGGATGCAGCACTGAGCAAAGTACATGAGGATAGGGTTTAAGCCTTGATTATTTGGTTAATTTAAATGTAAATAATTCCTGTCGACTTAGTAGACTCCAGGCCAGCAATAAGAACAAAGCATATTGACAACAGATTGCTCCAAAGTACTAGAGAAATCATATCTGCAGGTGTGGTAACTAACAGCTATGCTGACATTAATCAGCTAAGTTTATCTATGCATACGGGGCACCTAGCTCAGAGAGGTGAACTAGTCAAGTGTGAAGCTTACTACTTCCAGGATATTAGAACTGACATACTTCAGCTCACAAATAAAAAGGCAGACCTGATTTGTTACTCTGTTATATCACTAGAATGCTTGTGCAAACACTTGATTAAAGTTGGTGTCCAGTGCAAGTGCACTGGTTTAATTTGCTACCAGCTCTAATGTAAGGAGCTCATCCATCACCTCCAGCTCAAGGTTGCGGAACTCCAACAGCTCATTCTGGTCTCGGGCATCCTGCAACTCCTGTTGCAGACGGTTGTTTTCTGCTTCCAGTTTCTCTATCTAATAGAAATATGTAAAAAGTCAGGATCTGTGTGACTGTTACAAGAAACACTGAATATTTGATGAGTAGCAGTTGAGGTAGCATGGGCAGTGCAAAATCCAAACTCAAGAAATGATTTAGTACTTGCTGGTTTACCTCAGTCAGTCTTTAGTTTACAGGTAAAATTCTGCTCATCAGCTTTCCAAATATCATAAAATGCTTAGGCTGAAGGTTTTTCTGAAAGAATCCAACCCTGGTGAAGATCATCAGGGAAGTTAACTCTACAGAGGTGTCAGGTTTGCTATTAATCTACCTTAGCTATTAAACACATTGCTCTTATGGTAAAGCACCAGAATAGATTGTCTGGGGAGGAATGTGGAGACATCATTGTTGGAGGACTCTGAGACCAGCTCGGAGAAATGTCTATCAGGAATGTCACAAACAGTTGCACCTGCCTTGGAGAAGAGCTCAGGCTAGATCAGAGATTCCCAGTGCATAGTACATGAACCAAGGATGGCATGCAGGGAGAGCTGTCTTTGTGGAGGCAGTTACCTGAGCAGCCATCCCACCCCATGCAAGCACTTGCGCAAACTGCACAGCAAGCATCTCCACACAAGTAGTTCTGTCAACTAGCGGATACGCTTAAATACCACCCATTGGCCAATTGTCTATAGCTTGCTTGTTGTGGACAACTCCTTCACTAGCTCTTCAGCCTGCTCTCTTCCTAAAGTCTCCAGCCAGTGCCAGGACATGTATTCTGCACTCGGGTTGTCCGAGCAGGGCTTAGACAAGGACAGCTAGGTAGCATGGTAAGACTGAGGTCAAATGAGCACCAATGGCTCAGTCTGTTTGGATGGGGAAGGATGGTACAGGGCTGGAGATTTACTAGGTGTGTTTATGGAAGGGGAGAAACACAGGCTAAGAAACCTCATCTGGGGAGATAAAAGACAGTGGTACTGCAAGTTATGGCCTCTTGCTAATGGCAGTCATATGTACAGCCACTGCTGTTACTGTCAGTGTTATGCAAGCAATGCTGAGGTCCTTCATATCCTTATATTCCATGATTAAAAATGTATACATCCATACAAATATATATACATACACAAACAGGTGACATTCCTAAATGTACCAAGGGACTGAGCAGTACAAGCTCCATTGGACCTTGGGATGACTTTAAGCCCTTAAAAATATACAGAACATACAGGGACTAGGAGTATGAAAGTGTCCTGGTGTTAGAGGGTGACTGTGTTTCTGCTGCCGTTCCACACCCAGAAGCTAAGCTCAAAACATCCTGCCAGTGCATCGGCAGCTGACTCTTCAGCACAATGCTACTGGAACACAAAGGTCTGTGCCTTGGAGCCAGAATGATGAGTAGAGCTTCCAGCTCTCAAGCTGAAGCTTACCAGCAGAGCTGGTACATCAGCAACTGCCAGCAACAACAGCACCTAAGCAGAGCTAGAGAGGGCTTGCCTCTCCGTATGTTATCCTGTCCATATTAATCTATGCTGTTCTATCCTTATACTACACCTATAAACACCAGACTGCATGTCCAGAAAGTGTATTGCAGATTCCAGATTACCCTTCAGAGTGAACATGCAAAACTTGGGAACATACCTTGTCTAAAAGCTCTTGGTTCCTCTTAATGAAAAGCTGTTTGTCCTCCACCCAGTGTGAGTCCTGTTGGATGAAGCAGCACTATTACAGAATAATCAAACTCCATGAAGTTGGGCATGTTTACTGAAAACTGGAGCCACAATATTCAAGCTTTAAAATCCTACAGAAATGAACTGTCATTTACAGAATAACAACATATTAGTCTACCAAGACATAGCAAGGCTTATGAGCTCACTAGACCTGCCTGTTTACTGAACAGTGGCATTACATCTCATGGAAGTCTACACTGAAACTGTGCTATGTATTTTGTAAGCAGAGCAGGTAAGAACCAAAATAGGAAAAGAAAATACACAGGAAGTGCTTACCTGCCCTTTCTGTGCCAAAGTTTTCTCCAGATCTTCTATTTTGGCTTTATACCTCTGGACTTCAGCTTGGAGCTGCTCCTGAGCCTATTGAAGTCAGGCACAGCATTAAATGCTAACAAAAACAGCAATGTGACTGCTATTAAAAGGAAATCAAACACAGTAGATTCTGGGTTTCTGCTGTTGCTTCCACTGAGTAACTGCTACAAAGATTCTGGCTCAACGATGTTTTGTGCCACCCCTCAGATTGGCATACAGAGGAAACAAGGGAACAGAGTGGTAGACCAGCCCCCTCTCCCCACCCAAGCCTATTATTACTATGTATTGCACTGGAGTCGTGAAACACAAGCTCAGGTATTCAGGGTGACAGGCTTTGTTCAAAGACCCTAGTAAGGGGCAGTCCCTGAATTGAAGAAAAGTGCTTAGTAAATGAGAGTGGCAAAAAGTAGTGGAAAGAGGCAGTTATAACTGCCTGGGAGGTCTTCAAGAGCTGACTCACAAAGTGCTAAACAACTTTGTGGGATCTCACAGCTGACAATGCTTTGAGCAGGAGTTTGGGCTGGAGACTTCCTGAGGTCCCTTCCAGGCTGAATGATTCCATGATTTTATTAGAGAGACAACATTTTTAGCCTTGGAAGGTTTACTGTAGTCTGCATCACATTAAAATTTGAATGTAATTTGCATTTCTCTGTTAGAAACATTCAGGTGAATATTCCTTAAGTTGGTGCAATACGTGCCTTTGTGAAATCCCACGTTTCCATTTACCTTTAAAACCCAACCCCTTCACACCTGGGCGAAATATGAAAAAACCCTTGTGCTTCTGTGCCAAATTGCAGAATTACCTGCTTTGGCATGCCTGCCTAACTGCAGTTTTCAGGTTCGTGTTGGGGACAGCCCCATGTAAACTGAGTGATTATGTCCATTCTTAATTGCCACTCTCTTTAAATGTACTCAGCAAACAAGTGAAACAGTCATCTCTAGGTTGTATGGATGTTGTATGTAACTCCATTCCCTTGTATGTCACTTTGAGGGGTTTGTATGTCCTGATAACAATGAAATGCTTTTATCCTCAGACAATTACTGACCTTGGCTTCTCTTTCAGCATCTATGATGCCTCCTGTCTGCTCCTGCAGTAGTGCATATGCTCTCTGCAGGGCCTGGTACTCCTTTGTCAGCTGTCGAAACCGCAGCTCTGATTCTTCTGCTGCTAAACCCTGATGGATAAGAAAGGACATGTCTAAGCATCAGACAGTAGAGCAGTGCCAAAGCAAAGAATGCAAGTGTGATTTGTTAAGCACAATTGTTGGTTTACAGGTCTTTATTCAAATAGCTTTTTTGATGAGCCTGCTGTAATATGAAGTAGTAAGAATATGGAATTTATACAGCATTTAAATGTCTTTAAGCTAAAAGAAATGTGATAGATTTATTTTCTTGAAGGGGGAGAGGAAAAAGATAATCTCAAACTGCAATGAAGTCATAGCTGTAAACTCTACAGACTAGATTTTGAAAGAATCTCTCAGCATTTCAGTATAACAGTAATCAAAATTGTAGCCAAGCTTAATGAAGAACTTATTCAATATGCACTATAAAAACTGAAGTGTTTTTGAGAGCCTGGCCACTTGTTTTGGAAGTCAAAGTCTATTGAAAACTCATCCTTGCCTATGGAAAGAGTGAGATCTTACCTCATCCAGATCATCATCTGGGGTTGCTGGTGTTCTGTCTGTTCTATATGAGGCCACAGAGGATGTTTCAGAGTCCATGGAATCATCATCATACCCAAAAACTGTATCTACCACATGTCTCTAAAGAAGGGAAAACATAATTTCTGAATCTCCTTAGAAACACACAGTATGAGCTTATGAGGGGAAAGGTTAGTTCAAAATCACATAGCCAGTTACTTAAAAAAGAGCAATGGGCTATCCCTGCAATTACTATCTCCAAACAAATCCAGAGGGAACCCTATTGAAGAGTAGGGCTTGTGCTGGTGGAGAATGAGTTTGCTGATTCATTTTTCTGAGCTGAGAATCTGACTCAGTTTAAAATTTGGAAAACAATGAGAACAGCAACATGCTAAGCAAGCATCTCCCACCTTACAGGAAGGTATGGGAATTTTGTTAACCCCAAAGCTGTTCAAAGACATCTATCAACATGCAGATTGGTGTGCAAAGATAACACCACAAAGAGAAATGTGTGCAGAATAGGGAATCCTCCTGCTTGTCTCATGGACACTGTTGATACTGCTGTTGGAGTGAATGAAAGCTATGCAAATACAAAACTAGCATAAAGAAACTTTTATCTCACACATCTTTCCAGTACTAGAGTAACTGCCACATGTTATATGAGATTGCTCACACTACACAGTTTAGTTGTATGTCTGACACCTCACTATCTCCAATCTCAGTAACTGATTTAAATCAAATAAAAACTGTGAGTCATGTACTATGAACGTATAGATGCTTGACCCTTCAGGCTTAGTTTTAGGGTACAGATTTGAGCATTTAAATACTTGGCTTATGAATAATTCTGCAGACAAACTGATCAACGAGCATTAAAATACACTTCTGGTTTGCAACATTTTTCACTTTTGCTGACAGGTTACAACCTTCTAAACCTGGAATCTGAATCAGACAAAAAACACGTACCAAAGATGCCAATAACCTTTTGCATATATCATCTTTTTTTGTTCATTATTTCTCCAAGTGAAGACAACAGCCATATTGTCCTGTGTCATAATCTTTGGTTTAGAAATAAAGTTGACTGACGAAAATACTTTTTAGACCTTGTCTACCAATTATGTCTACTGTGTATTGCTTCAAAACCCATATAGAAACAATGTGATGACACGTCTAGGATTTACTGGTCTGAAATTGTCTGTGTGTAGGAAAGAGTTGCGTTATTTTCACAGAATATGGCTGAAGTACTAAGGGATGTCCTTGGAAATAAAAACAGCAGCCAAGCTCTGTTTGTTACACAGTATTTGCGCTTTTTGGAGGTGGGATGTGGCTGTTGCAAAGTCATTCTTCACATCTAGCTACTAATGGAGCTATTTGAACCACCACTGACTACTCAGCTCTAAAACTATTATAAATTATACCAGCTTTGGACTTGACCCAATTCAGGGTAATACAAGGGGTAGCCAAAAGCCCATGGAATTGAGCAGCAGAGAATGACACTCCGTTTCTCAGGCACAAACTTCCACTTGAAGAATAAAGTTGGCCAAGGATTTTGTTTTAGTCTATATGTGCTGTGAAAAATAGATAGCAGAAGATAGATGGGAAGATCTCTGAAAATGTAAATACATCTCAGCATAACAGACCTTGAGACCAGTATTTATAGAAACTATTTCAGAGAGCGGGGAAAAAAAGCCCCATTTTGCTGAAAATAAAATAGCTACATACCCTTAACTGAATTTCAAAGTGGACTTAAAAAGCTCTCCCAAACCAAGGTGTTTATAAACCTGCTCACTAAAGCAGATTATTATAATCCACAAAGCTCTCTCTAATCAGATTGCTAAAGTGTGTTTTCCTATAGAGCCTGCTAGTATTTTTGTAAGCTGAAAACAATTTTCCTCTTACCTTAATTGGCTTTGAGCTCCTTTTATGCTTTCGGCGACGAATGAGTTTCTCCCTGTCCTGGAAAGTAAGATTAAAAAGTTACTCACTCTTCTCTTGTTTGCAGCTGTAGAAGGCCAAATCTACAGAGGAAATAAATCATTGGGCTTCCACCAACTCTCTGTTCATACGTTCAAACAGGAATCTGATTCCAGGTGGAAGGGAGGATTCATATCCTCCTGAAAACCACTTAAAGAAGGGAAGATGGGATATCTGAAAAAAAAAAAACACTTTGTTGTTCAGTTGCCTTGACAGGCACTGATGGATTTCCTGTTAAAATCACTGGGAGGCATGTCACAGGGGACTGGTTTGGGCTTTGTATGAGAGGCTGTCTGCCTCCCCTGCAGAGGAGATGCTGCCTCCGTCTCAAAGTCATTAAATGATGGTAGCGTTGATCTCACCACTCCTAGCAATGATGTTTTAGAAGAGGCAACAGCCTGTTTCGGAGTCTCTTTCTCCTTCCCCTCAACATCATAACGCCAAGTTAGCTGAAAAAGGGATTGTCAGTCTTAAATGACAGAAGAACTAGTGAATAACTGTCTAACAGCACACGCTTTTCCAGCACATGATATTGCACTGTGTGCCTGCCTCCTAATAAGGAAACTTTTTAATGGTAGCTTAGTTATAATGGTAAACCAGCTTGGCACAGCCCTGCCTTGTGAACACGTAGGCATCTGCCCAAGCTCCACAGTTCTTAGTCTGCATTCACTTCTAGAGCTCAAATCATGCACAAAAGTTAAATTTCTAAGTTGTAGGGGCTAGTGCCCCACTAGAAATTCAGTTAAAATGCATCCATGCATACCTACATCTAAACATTTGCAAGTGCTCAAAAATATTAACCCTCAGACCTCTAGTTATAAAAAGAAATACTATCAGTGGTGAACTGTACACAGGAATCATTAGAAATTTACTGGTGCTCTGGACATACCCTTGTTAACTCATCAATTATGTTCTGTTGTTCTATGACCTGAAGTTTTAAGAATTCAGTTTCTTGTTCCTCATTAGCCTGATCCAGGTCATTGAGAGATCTTAATTTCTTTAGAGGAGGATGTGATGTCATTTTTTCTCTCTGTGGTAAGAAGAAACAGATAAAATAAGATCAAGCAATTAAAAGAGAGTACCTTTCAGTTAAAAATTAGACCTTATCTTTCATTTAAGCTGTACAGCCCTGTAAATACACTTCAGCTACACCATTTTTATAACATTATTAATACCCATCAGCACTTCTTAAAAATAAAGCAGCACAGCAAAGTTGAGTTCTTTAATCAGAACAACAAAGCTTTATCTATTTACTTATTATGTGGCAATATAGCCTCTAGAGCAGCCCTTAAATGTCATATACCATAGCTCTTCCTTTGCCATGCATCAAGATTTCAGAACATGTAGCAAATATAGTTGAACCCCCTACCTGTCCAGTGGGTATGAAAGTAATATATACTCCCATGACCCCATGCCCTTACTGATACCCATCATATGACCATACACAGGAATGAAGTGGACATGCTTTAGTCACGTGAAAGACATGCATCCAGTCAGAAGAGGATGAAAGGCAAAAAATGTGGTACCAAATCTATTTTAACTAGAAATCCACCTCCTGCCTGCTCCTGAGCATACATGGGAGAAGAGATGGCTATAGCCTGTGAAAATTACACTCTAGCCACCCACAGCTTGCTAACTTCCGTAATTTGGGCATCTATAATATAAAAAGCAGATGTCAGGGAGCTAAGGTAGAACACACTTGCTGTGTGCACATATATGTACGAGTAATACTGCCCACTGATGTCTAATGCGTGCACATTCCCAAGTCCCTTCTCCTTGCTGTGGGAGAGCCCAAGGGGCTGTGATCTGTACTACCACAGCTGTGGAAGAATATAAGACAATAAAGTGAATCTGATCATCTCATCCTAATCTGCAGGAAAGATGCATCTACTGCAGAAGAGTCAGCCTGCTCAAGACGACGACAGCAGCTATTGCAAGCCAGGGACAAGACACACAAACACATTTAGAAGGGGCAGTCATCTCAGCCTGCCAGCTTACATCTAAAAACCTAGAACTTCCACCTCCTTTTTTTATTAGTGTCAAAGCAACACCAGTGAATGTGTAGGGACTGGATTCTGACTGATACTCAAGGAACCATCTGAAGGATATACAGATGTAACTGCTTTAACACCGCTTCATATAGCCCTGATATGTGAAATTTATAACTCTAGCCAAATTTATACCACCACCATTGTTCCTTTCCCCTATTCATCTGCCATGCATATATTTTATGGAAAGATTGTATGTGCTCAGTGGCAGACTAGAACTTTACTTTGTCATCATCAGCTCTAACAAGAACATGTACATTCGAAGATGAACATTATGTTGACTGAAAACATTGCTCTTAGTTTCCTTTTTGACTTCTAGATGCAAAATAGCACAGTGGGATATGTCTCAATGATACAACTATTTTTTTTCTTTTTATTTTTTTTTTAAAACAATCGAAACTCAATATTCTAACTTTTGGGACAGTATTAAAGACTGTGATTATGCATTCATTTAAATATATTGCACATGTATGCATAACACACAATGTTATAGTATGTAAGTATTATATACAGACCTAACCATGGCAATATATTATCAATAGTATTATACACTATATACAACACATTTTCTCTACATATATACATGCATACACTATGCAGATGTGGGTACCAGAACAGACACAGATCATACAGTGATCCTCATTTTTTCTCTTCAGTACCAACCATTTCTATATTTTCTTTAGTGACTGCTTTGAGTTTATCTTCCATGCGCTGCAAAGACTGCATAAGTTCATCATTTCTCTTCGTGAGGCACTTGTTCTTTTCCAGAAGAGGTTTACATTGTTTCTCAGCTTCTCGGACACGTTTCAACTGGATTGATAACAGCAATTAATAATTGTAATTAATCCAAATAAAAGATATTTTTTCTCCCTCCTTTGTTAGAATTATTTTTGTTACTTCCCCAGTAAAATGCCAAAGTGATCTAATGGAACTGATGCTTACAGCTTCCATAACTAGCTTTATCTATAAATCTCAAAGCATAATTCTGCATACCTGTTTCCAAAAGATGGCTTTATCTATGGGAAAACTCAGACACAGAGATGAAGCAACCCAACACACAGTCAGGCAACTGCAAAGCTGCTGCAAAAGTCTGAAATGACTGGTGCTTTAACTGCTAGAAACCCAATGATTTTCTCACTGAAAGACAGATTTGCATAGGTACCTACTCAATCTGGATAACAGCAATAACAACATAGTTGTAAGTCTGTTTTTTTTAATGCCACACAGTGAAATACTTGTGCATATGTACAATGAACTTTGTTTTAATCAACAAATCACATAACATTTAAACAACAAATCCCATAAGACAGGAGGATCTCTTAGGGCATGCTTGGGATTTTCAGTATTGGTACAACTACAGTTTTAACTAAGATCTCTTCATCTGAAAAATTAGTTCCATCCAGTAATATTGAGTGCTTTTATAGATATAATTTCTTTTCCTAAGGGAGGACCAGGAAGATGGCATGCAGCTATGGAAAGACATCATCTTTGCACCCAGATGATCTACCTAACAAAGACACTGTCCCAGTTCTGTATTACTGTTTGTCACTGGGAGGTTCCTGTCCCTTGCAGCTCCGCTGAGGAAAAGACTGCGAGAGTTTTCTGTAGCTCTTAAGGACAGCTAACCACATTCGCTTACATCATCACATCATCTACTAGGCTATTTAAACTAACCCAGTGATTATTGTCTGAAACAGGGTAGCAAGTATCTGAAGATACCTTCTACTAACAGAAAAGGGGAGAGCAGCTAGGAAGTGGTTACATCTTTGATCAGCTCAACTGTGGGCAAAGCAACCATTCATCCTACCCTAAGAATTACACTAGTTGTTGCTAGTCTGAATGTATCCTTAAAGTGTATGGTATTTCTAGCAGTACTCCTGGTCACATTTAATAAAATGTGTTCACTGTAGTCACATTGTGCAAGATACAGCTTAGAAGCCTCTTCAAATCAACTTTTTTCCTTGTGAAAAAATAGGCTGAATATCCAATGACATGCAACAGCTAATCACGCTGACTCCAACCTACTCAGTATCAAAGAAATTTGAGCATTGAGAGCTTTTCGTATCTGAAGAGACACACATGAACGTATTTGTAATTTTCAATCTTGATAAAACATTTTTTTGCAGATATTATGTTAAGAACATTGAGGAGAACCAAGCCAGCTAAACTGATATGAAAAGAATGCACTAAGACTCCTAGCTCAGGAATAAAAAAAAAATAATTAAGAGTTGAATTTCACCACCCTTATCCTTAATCACAGAAGCAGAAATATAGAGACGTTAAAAAGCCAGGGTGCTGACTTCAACAAACAGGTATCACCACCTAGGAGTAAATCTGATAAAGGGATCAATTTACTGTTGTCTATTCTCCCTAGTTCCAGTACTTAAGTGTTCTCAACCTGGTCAAATACTGGACTACAGACATCATTTAATTTACAAGGTAAGTCTTGCCATACACTATTGTATGCTGAAAAAGTCAAGGAGGGAACATAAGCATTCATATAGAAACCTATGAGCCTCTCTGCCTCAACTTTCGTTTTGATTTTGTACTCATATAACTTCAGTGAAACTACTGTTTAATTCTAGGATAAAATAAATCATCCTCAGCTTCTTGAGTGACTAGTCTGATGGATGGAGAAGGCATACTCATGACTGGCTATCATCCTTGCATCCTCCTCTCTTTGCCTTTCCCTATGGTTCCCTGATCTTTTCTCTCTGACAGTGCAAAGCTCACACACCAGTTCATTTCGCTCATCAACAAGCAACGTGTTCCTGTCTTCCAGCTTCCGGATTGTGGCGTTCAGCTCTGCTATCCTCTTCTGGTTTCTGCGCAAGTCCTGTTCATTGGCAACAACATAATACAGTTACTGATTCCTTTCGAAATACATGCTTGGGAAAAGAATCCTCAGAAACTACACACCAGTCAACTTAAGCTGTCATCATCAACAAATTATATTTATGGATTTTTACAGTATTGAAAATGCTGGCAAAATATATCTATTTTTGGAAAAAAGTATCTGGTTTGGGGGATACGTTAATTGAAAATTTTTATCTGTTTAAAAAAAATGAAGAGGAAACAACCAATCAGATGTCAGTGTTTTTTTATAATGGGGAAGAAAAAGCAAAAAGTTAAGAGATTCTAACTTTTAGTACATTTTCATATACATTGCTTTGATTTGCTGGACCACTATGTCAGGTGAAAAAGGGCATCACTTTCAGCATCAATTGCATTTACGTTCTTATTCCTCATTTGTATATGTGTAAATATGTGCATTATACACACATTTGTTGTGTAAACATCATGTATTTAGACACACAATAAGTGAGTTGTGTGTTTTGTGAATGACAGCAAGGCCTGTATAAGTGGAGAATAAGACAGAAAGAGAAGGATCTCCTAAGAGTCTTCCAGATACCCCGCCCCAGCCTTCTCCCTGCCCATCTTCTCAATTATATTTGTTTTTGAAGATGCATGCTATCCAGGTAGTTATGTTCATGGAATGATTCTCTCAAAAGGGCACTAATTATTTAACATGTTTTATATTTGTAAATACAGTAATTGAGGAAACAGCCTTACAAAGCTTTGTCCCACTAAAATTCTCTCTGAAGAATCTATGGACATAACTTCCCTGGAGTGAGTAAGAGTGAGAATGTATTCCCAGGGCCTGAGAAAATATTTAAGAGAAACACAGCCATGTTCCTGCTTTGCAGGGACCAGTAAAACCTGCATACAGGGCTGCTGCAGTGCTCCGAACCATCTCCAGCCCTTCCTGGGATCTCTCTCTTGGGACTGCTCATGTTACACTCTGCCTCCTTCACCAAGAAGAGCTGTTCATCCAGAGCTTCCTTCTGCAGCTGCAGCTTCTGCACATAGCCTGTCTGTGTCTCCAGTTCTTTCTCCAAGGAAAATATGATCCTGTCTTTAGCCTTGATCTCGTCCATCTGAATGAGAGAAGCATCAGAACAGCGATATTATTGTGTAAAGGCAACAGCATTTCAGCCTTCTGCAATCTAGTAGCATATGATTTATTTAATAGCAGTGTTCACCACTGAAATCTGCTATATCATACCGTACCAGGCTTGTAAAACAATACACTTTGAGGTTTCAGCCATAACTGTACATTGGCACAGTAGCAGATTCACTAGCCTTGCACAGAATGAAGGCCAGAAACTGAGCATGGTACGATGTGTTAACGGATAACTGAATGAAGAGTTCAGGCTTTCACATTGCATTTTGGTCAGTTATTTACATTACTGAAAAATAGGTGTAAACTGACAACCCCAAAAAAGTTTAGACTAGCTCCTGCTGATGTAAATGGTGCTACATTAGCTGAGACAGTAGAGGTTACAGTTCAACTCTCACAAACAGATCCATGCAGATCCAGTATTTCTTAAAGCTGATTCCCATGTTATTAATCTGCTGAGTGCAAACTCAAGGCTATTCATTTTATTGTTACTTCATTTCTGCCTAATGCCTAATTTCTATCCAAAACAAAAATAAATGCCTCCTATTTTGCCTCACAGCAACTTTAAGAATGACAGCTGAGAGAAAAACTTTAGATTAAAACTTAAAATAAGATCAGGTCATACAAGCCTTGCAATAAAAATTGATACAAAGCTGGTAACATCACCGAGCTCAAGAAAATCTGGTGAATTGGAATTTGCAAATCACTCTGGCAAAATAAAAGTACTGTTATCTGGGAATGATATGAATCATTCTCTTAAAGCAAAAACTATATCTATGCTTAATTTTGCCTGAAGCTGCCAGAGATACTTTCTGGTCTTGTAGCTTCCTAGGCTTGCTGAAATCCTCCCCCAAAGTATTTTCAAAATGAGTAGGGCTAGATTCTTATCTTCATTAACTAGATGTCACTCTGATGTGACTTTCTCCACTCTGATAGCAATACACAAGTGGTTTCCAAATCCACTGCAAGTCAGATAAAAATAATTCTGGACTTGTTCAAGGTTATTATGTGAGTAAACAGCCTTCAAAAAGCCTTTCATGCATTGCTAAAGATAAAATAATACAATACATAGGTGGAACCTGAGTTGATCTTAATGTTACTAAATGGCTCAGTTTTATCCTGAATTTCACCACAGTTCCTTTTTATATTAAAACCTTGAAAACAGACCCTCGGTTTCAGATGAGAAAAAAAAAGGTAGTTTGTCCTCATGGTTACACAGAACTGCAAACGTGAATCAAAGTAACACGATGGGTCGAAATTCAGAAGGCAGATATGAAGAATCCACCACTACTAGTCAATTACTATATTATTAGCATTTTGGCAACACAAGAATATACATCCAGCACACCGAGTTTGAATTTGGGGTGACAGAGAGTAGAAAAAAAAAATTAAAACCAAAAAAATTCTTGACAGTTTATATTACCATTTCTTTTACTTAACTGTCAAAACTTGAATTCCAGTTTTCAAGATAAGCTTTCCACTGTTGCAAGGAGGTCCAGCTCCCCAGATGACAGGGAAACACGGCATCTTGCACCATTGCGGATAGAGGCCTCGTTTTCCCCAGTAGTTACTGAAGGCTATACCAAGACCAAACCAAGAGATATCTCCCCTCCTGCTATGGCTTAATGTGTTTAGGATACCATCATAAGGACTAGAGAAACTAACAAACTGTGAGTACAGATCTAAACACTTTTTCTAACACTTCACATCACCCATGTATTAGCGTCTCAGCAAGGCAAATCCTTACAGACTAGGCCAATCACTCTCTTTAAGGCGTTAGCTGCCATCACAGTGGTTGCTCTAGCTGACTCACTGTGATCTATTTACTGCTGAGAAATGACAGTGAGAGTTTGTAATACTTTCGCAAACTGAGGTGCATTGCAGAGTCCTGTTATTCACAAAAAGCTAAGAGGCACAAGAGGCAAACTCACTACAGCATAAGAGAACACATGAACTGTTTTGGTTACTGACCAGGCGGCGAATATCCCTTTCACTTTCCCATTTGATCTTGGAAATGGCTTCCTGATGGGACTGATGCTCACTCCGAAGATCCCCCGCCTTGATCTTATCGGCTTGGATCATGTTGTTAAGGGCTTCATCTACCTGCTTTTTGGCAGACTTCAGTTCAGTAATTTCCTGTAGAAGCTTAAGGCGCTCGGAGTCGAACTGTTTTCTGGCCTCTTCACGAGCCTCAATAGTCAGCGCTGTCCTTACTTTATCGCTGCTCCCATCCCGCAGCGCGCACAGCGCTGACTTGAGGCGCTGGATTTCGCTGTCTCGGACTTTAACCATCCGTGTCATCTCCTGCTCATGCTGTTTGATGAGGTTCTCCCTCACGGCCTGCAGCTCCTTCATTTTCTCCTCATGAAGTTTGGCTTTTAGCTCTGTGATTTGCACAGTCTGCTTGCGCTGCTCCGCCTCGCGGATACGCTTAGTTTCTTGAGTCTTCTCTCTTTCAAGTTTAGCAACCTACATTGAGATAAAATGAAAGTCACCTGCTACCAACATAATGTTATCAAAACAAGCCCATTCAGATGCACAGCCATGTCAAATTGAGGAAGACCCTGCTGCAGACCTTAGATGATCCTCCACCCTCCTACAACAAAATATGGACCAACCGCTGGGGCATTCACATAGATTTTATACTATCTTTACTCAAGCCAAAACAACCCTGTCTTCTCCAGGTTTCTTGCCTCACACAGTGACATTACATGTACTTTCAGTATTTCCTTAGGAAATAAGACTCCATGTATATGCGTGTATGTGTCTAATAAGTTTTTAACTCATCAGTCAACATCAGTCAAATTCATCAGAAAATTAGAGGGCTGAGAAATAGCAAGGTTCCTACAGCTTCCATGATCACGGGCAGTCAATCAGATGAGAGAGAAGTGCTTGCCTCTATATGATCCCAACTGAGGTAAGGTGCAAGTCTGGAAGCCCAGGAAACTTCATCTTTTACAGATGTTCTTAGCCATACATAGAGCTTTAACAGGCATTTGTAGTCAATTCTTAGACACATCTACAGAAAAGCATGCTTCACTGGTTATTATGCTTATGGAACAGCTAGCTTTACTTAAAATATGTCTTTTGCTACTCTTCATTAAGAAGTTTTGAAAAACTTCTTTGTTCATAGCTTTGGAATCGAAATTAAGAGAGTAACACAACAGTCCTCAGTACACTTACACTAACATATCTCTAGCTGCAACTTCATACCATTGAGGAATTCCACAATAGAAAAAACCTATGTGAACCTATACCAGAGGAAAGCAATGGGTAAGGAATGTTCAGTTTAAAGCAAATATTTGGTAGGTTTGTTATTTACAGTGAAAAGGAATGTGTTTTCAAAGACTGTAAGAACTTCCTTGTTAATTCCTTTTTAAATAAAGACCACAATGAATAATGACGAATGAGCAAGCCTTTCAGAAAGAAAAAACAGGGAAAAAGAGTCATTATGAACCAGCATAGTAGTAGGTCATCTGAAAGCCCTCCAAGAGACACTGGTAGTCTAGCCTGTAAGCCTAATTTATTACTTGGATAGGATTTAGTGAAGGTAGGAAGTGCTATTGGCTATATACAGAGCTGACTGACTTTTTTTTTTTCCCTCCCATGCTATCCTCATCTTATTTCACGTATACCTTTCCCAAAATAAGCCATCAGAAGAGTTTGAAATCGTACTTTTACTTCAGTTTCAACCATCAGAGTCATTCTGACAAGTAACAGACTCTGAAAATGAAAGGCATCTTCCTCAGAAGGCTCCATGGAAAACAAATCTGAAAAATTCTCCTAGGACTCTCTCCACTGGGCTCTCGGATGCCTTTTTCAGGGCAAACTATTCAATACACATGTTTTTTCAAAGGTAGTCTGCACTTGTAACTGCCACTGACTTATCTGGAGCAATTCAGAGGCTACTGATGCAGTAACTATGTATAATGATACATGCCATATGCAACAAGAAGACTGTGCAGCCAGAGACTAAAAAACATTCTCTTTTAATCACATCTGTACAATTCATGTGAGATATTAAAATGCCTTTTCTACACAGATCACTTCTGAGAAGAAAGCTACACATAACCTTAACCCCTCAATCCCCAAGTCCTTAGGACAGGTTTTTGTTTGCCTTCACTCCTTTTTCACCAGAGATACATCCTTGATTTTGAATACTCATGACTAAAAATGACCCTGATGCCCTCTTTCTATCTTGTAACACATCTCTTTCTGTTTATTAAAAGGGAGTTGAATGCACTGCAAAACAAGGTACAATTATTTTAAGTGATCCATTCTGGCATGCCATAGGAAGATACATCTAAACTTTCAATAAAGTAGTTTAGGTATCCACAGTGGCACAAATGCAGACCCAGACAGGGCCTGAGTACAACCCCAGCTAAGTTCTGGGATGTCTGGTTTTATGGCTATTAGTTTCCAGACTGCCTAGTTTATTAAACTGAAACATCATCAGATGCTAGGCTGACTTGCAGATGTACTATTCTGATGGGAAGAAAGGAAAAGTGAATGATGGCCCTGTGGGAAAAAGATTTATGGAAAAGAGACATGTTCAGTAAAAGACCACGGTGGCCCAGAGGTCTCTATCCTCTTTGGATTCACTGGTAAAGTGAACTTATTGCTAGCAGAGATGGGAAAAGTCCAAAGATCCTATTTGTTTGACCCCTTTGTGGGATGAACACTTTCTTAAAGGTTCTTCTGACGCTGTGGGTCACTGCCCAGTTTGGCATCCTATTTCTACCCTGATTTTACAAATGAGGTTGTACCAAGACGTCCAATCTGAACCTGCTTAAGTCTAGGGAAAGAAGAGGAAAGAGCTAAAAATCTGAATCCAGATTAAAATAAAATTTGCAATTATGTCTGCTCCTCTCTATCCAAATTGCATAACAATTCAGAAGGATGATCTATTTCCTGAGACTGTAGTTTCTAGCCCCCCACTACTCCATGATGACAATTCCTTTAATGCCCTGAGCAGTTACTCCGATTTAGTCGCAGGAATGGATGAGAGCACCTATGAATCAGCATCCTGAGAGATACTGAAGCGTGTAAGCAATTTCATTATTTTGTTTCTGTTCTGCTCCTCTCCTTGCCAGTGTTACTCAAGCACATTTAAACATATTTCAGATAAGCTTTTTTGGTTTTGCTTTCAAAACTTTCCTACTCTTGTAACTCTCATTATTTTGGGCTATCCTTGAAGGGATGTCTAGCAACAAAAATCTGCACTGGCAACTTCCATACTGGAATTCCATAGCTGCAGTGAAAACAAAAGCAGCAAGACACAGAATATAGTGGAAAGCATTACAGAGGCTCCCTGGGCCATCAGTTTTCTGGCAGCTAGCCTGTGGCTCCTTAAGAGAATAACTAAGCCTTGCCTCTGTGCAACACATGAGTGCCAAAGCTTGCAGGGAAAACAAAAGAATCAAAAAGCATTTTTGCTTTCCAAGACTGTCATTGACCATCTATGAAAGAAAAGCGTTCTGAATTAGTTTGAAAGAGTGAGGATGTTCACTTTGTTGCAGCTTGCAAATCTTGTCTATTTTAAAATGTTGCAAACTAATGGCTATAAATCTCCTTGGTAGGTGAAGGGAGAATTCCCCCAGAGATTCTCAGAACATCAGATAACACAGAGCTACCTATTCTTGCTTCTATTTAGATTCTCCTAAATTATACAAACCAACTTCCACTATAATGGCTAATGGTTGGCTGTGATTACAATTATGATTAACCTTGATATGTTGGCATGAACATCTGTTCCTATAAGAAATAAATTATGAAAAAGACTTCTTAGAGGCAGAAGGATTTGTGGTTATTCGGGTTTGGAAGATAGAGGCAAGTCATTCTGAGTTTATTTTCCCAGGATATACACTTATCTGCAAAGGAATCAAATAGTCAGGTTGATGGATTTCAACTATATTTGCTTTGGAAAAAACAATTTATCACTATAAGACATCATTCTTTGAAAATGTGGGTGCCACCAGAGTGCAGGTGGGGGATGCATGGCTGCAGTTAGCACTGCCTCCAGTCCACTTCATAAGAATCCACCAGAAGTTATTAAACAGACATTCATTATCTTCACTGCTCATAAAGAACACACTGCTAAACCTGAAGGTGGCCTTAATCTCAGCCATGTCCAGGGAACTTTCTTTCCATTTAAAGGTTTATTGCACAAAAGCTCTACCCTGACTATAATCACAAACATATTGTACTTGTTGCTAGAAGCATCTCTAAATGAAGAGGTAGCAACACTGTGGAAAGCAAAAAGTACACTTCTTTGCAAAACCTCTTCAGCATCACCTGTGGGAAAACTGATGCTGCTTGCCAGGATTTTAACAGAATGCAGACAGCATATGTGCAGAATAAGTGTAAAACAACAGCCAGTATATTATACTTGGGTAACACCCAGGCCATTACCTTTTTACAGGTTACAAAAGATGTAGTAATGTAGAGACATATTATGTGTTTTGCAAGGGCTGTTCTTGCATAGACAATGCAGGAAAAGAGTGAAAAATTCAGCAGAAGATGTAGGCAAGAGCTGAAGCCGCAGCACACAACTCAGAGGTTGTACCAAAGGCTTCTAACATATGTGGGAGGCACCTCAAGCCTTCACAAGTACTATAGGACCATGGCTATACCCTGCATGCATGACACTCAGCACTCTTTAAACTAACTTTACATATCTGAGACTAACTCTGGCAGACCTGAACAAGCTTTAAACAATCCATACATAACTTAGTGTATGTAATACAGTTTGACTGCACTGCAAATGGATTACAATGGTTGACATGGATTGTCATGCTATACATTTAAGAATACTTCATTCAACTTTGAAATAAGGGCACATCTTGCTGAAATATCAGCCATTCAAAAACAGCACCACACACTGTTTCTGAACACTGAGTGGACAGGATGAAATTCACTAACTGGAATATGTCCAAAGATGTTACAAAAGACATATTGCTCCATTTGAGAGACAGAAGCTTCTTAAACTTGTGATTCAATAAAAAGGAGTCTTCTCCACAGAAGTAACAAGACATGCACAGTAAGAAAATGTTGTATGTGGGGGAAAATATCCGACCATTGTTCTAGGAAAGAGTTGCATGGCATCTGTTGCTTTCTGTGATACTTTTTTTTTTTTTTTTCCACGTTTCTCTCCTGAGAACACTGTTATTTAAAACCAAACCCCCACTCACCTTTGATTTCTCCTGATGCAGCTCAATTTGAATGTCTGTTAGCTTGGTCCTGAGTTCCTCATTGGCAGCCTGTAAGGCAACTATCAGTGCCTCAGGCTTTTCGCCCTTGTTACGTCCTTTTTTTGACATGGTTTCTTATCAGTGAGAGTCCACGTGCTTAATTATTTCAAATATGGACTGCCATCTTTTTCTGTTCCTTTTAGTGCCAGTTAGTTCAGCACCTACTGCATGACATTCCTTAAGGTCCTGGTCTCATTTGCTTTGGAAGCCCTGTGAGAAATAAGACATACTATTATTTGTCAGTGGACACTGCAGCATGACAGCTCACATGGTTACAGAACACAAGAGATAGCTCACTTCTCCAAACACTGCAATCTTTGTCTGAAAACCTGCATGGGAGATCCCAGCACAATCAGGCTTCTGTATGCAAGTCTGGCATACTAGTGGAGATTCCATATATGCCCTTTTTCTGTTCTCAGAAAGGAGCACCATGCAATGAAGACAGGTGTTTGTTCACCATAAGGATTAGTGCTGTTGAAAGTACAGGACTAGAAAGGACAGGCCCTTTAATCCAAGCCTTGCAGTCTGAGGTAACCACAAAGCAAGCACTTCAATCTCAAAGATCTATGAACAATATCTTCCTCTTACCCTTCCCAACCCTTGATCCCACCCAAGATCCTGTGCCAAACTCAAAGACTTTCCACAACACACCTACAATCTGGAACAGTAGCAAAGGGAAAGCGCTGAAGTCCTCACCATCATTCTGGGTCTCTGTAGAAGCAGAGAGCTAACAACATGCAAAAGCCTGTATCAGACTAGAAGTTGACCCCTTTGCCATTTCCAAGGGAACGGAAAACAATTCTACAAATGGTTTCCATCAACTGAATTTCTGGAGGAAAATTCCATCCTAAATCAAAGGGTTATGGTAAGCTTAAACCCAAACACATTAGCAAGATACACAAATCTGGAAGCCAAGGGGTTTTTCCATGTCATTAAGAACAAGTGTTCCTCTGTCCCATACACCTATTGGGCTTTTTTTGTTTTGTTTTGGTTGGTTAGTTTGGTTTTGGTTTGGTTTGTTTTTTTGTTTGTTTTTTTTGGGAGGGAGGGGGGGAGTGGGAGTGTTGGGCTGTTTTAGCATTTGTCTTGGTTATTGGCACTGACTGACAGCCTCAGATAAAGAGGTATTCTGTTATTCTGTCTACCCACAAAATAAATGCGGATTTAGTAAGCTCCCTAGAAATTTCTGTGTCCATGTGTCTCAGCACTGAGCAGGGATTGAGATGGTGCCATGTTCACATTCACACTGCCACTCAGACATTCCTACCACATCCATGAAACTTGCAGAAATGACGTACATCCTTTGAGATGATAACAGAATCCTCAGTAAAGAGTCACTGTAAACTGAACAAAGCAGACTCACTTCTTGCCATACTGATCCTGCTATCCTGAAAACACTGTCCTATATCACCCAGGGCTGCCCATGCTGCTCCCAGTTACAGTACCTCTGAAATCCTGGCATTGCATTGTATACGTACAGCTACAAATGAGCACAGGATCTGACCCATATTTTCCACAGTACCTCATATTCAGTACTGGTAACAAAGGATCTAATCATGCTAGCTACATGAAGACTTTTTCACCAGGAGGGCTGAAACAGTACAACATCAGAGCTGAACTTGCTGTAGGTGCAGATGATTGAGAAAGAAAATGGGCTTTGGAAAGCAGTTAATAAAAATGGCTTGTTCTTGTCATGTATCATGTGACACAGCACAAGCAGATCTGATTTACTGCTGGCTTGGAAAAAAAGTGAGGCCAGATGGGACAGAAACGGTCAAGAAAGCAGAAATCTTTGGCTGTCAGTGCCAAATGAATACCAATACATGAGGACTTGTTGGGTTTGAGCGAAGGATGACATTTTTACCACATTAACCATGCAAAGGATGGCTTTTGAGAAAGAAAACAATACATAAGAAAAGCAGTAAGGACAACAGATTTTAAAAAAATCACAGGAGACTCTCTTCTGCATAGGGAGCTTCTTTGCTGTGTCACTTAAGATCCTCAACCAGCCTGAAAGCAAAAAGTGCTTTCAGAGACTCCTCTGGTGCAGACATCTTTTCAGCAGAGAGGACGAGTGGCTTCAAGCACACATGGCAGCTCTCGCTGGCTGAGGCCGCCCTCATAACTGGCACACCTCAGTAACCACTGCTGCTGGCACACAGCACCAAGGGCAGCCCTACAGCCACGGGCACAGCGTCGCGTCATGCAATGGGGCTGTTGCCAGGTCAGCCTCCCAGAGGCTAGCAGCAGTTCGTAAAAAATGAATGTTTGCATTCAGGAATGAAATACCTTGGATGTTTAGGCTTGAAAGAATAAAGACAGATAATTACAGATGTCACCTCCCTGCAGATGAAATGCTGCAGCACTACCCAAACAGCCACTGCATATTTACAGCGCAGACCTGAACAGCAGCAAAACAGCTCACATCAAATGGCACCAGAGCACGCACACTAGAGTTAGGAAAAGAACACAGTAAAGGGAAAATCCAGAATGAGGTGCAAAAAACACATTCTCAGTTGTCTACAAAAGGGTAATTTTCTCCCTAACAGCTATTCAAGCAGGCTTTTTTTTTTTTTTCTCCTCTGCAGATGTAAAATGCAAGTTCAGCATTTGTATACAAAGCCATTCTAGAGGCAACAGTGATATGCTGTAGCACTGAGGTAACAGGAACTTCTACTAATGCACCAGGGCCATATAGCCCAAAAGTGACTTAAATGCTATTTACGGGGGAGTTCGTGTGATTACTTCCACTGCCTCTTTCCAGACATGGAGTCAGCAGGTAGCCACAGTTCTAGTGTCATCAGACTTTTCCAGTTTTCCCTGAAAGAAATTTAGAAAGATAACCAAGTAGGAATGGATTATGGGAAAAATTTCCAATGAAAAAAGAAAAAGGAACTGAGGCAAAATTTCTGTTACCTGCAAGATGGGGTCCAGGAAACATTCCTGACAGTTGAAAATGCTTTGCCAGAAACAGAGAAGCGTTTCCAAGCCTAGGAAAGGCACAGTACCACAAAGGAAAAGAGTGAGAGACACCTAATTGGTCACTTGCATCTTTTAGTGCTATTCTTCGATTACTGAACTGAAGTAACTACCTCTCAGGATGCTAGGGCCTAGAATCAGTAATAGATCAGGCCTAGAATACAGTAATAGAGCTGAAGTTACAGCAGATGCAACCCATATATGGAGCTACATACACACATACATATGCATATACTACATTGAGCAAAAAGGCCAGGCTCTTCCCTTTTTATCTCATCATCCAGAATAACCCCCAGAATATGTTACTCTGCAGTTAATTGGAAAAAAACACTATTTGCAGAGCTTTACTCTGTCAGCAATGAATATGGGAGCTGTAGCTTCCAAGATAGACCAAAACGTATCGATAGAATGCTGTCAATCACCTCAGCTTCATTTTTGCTTCTTATCTATAGTTCCCTTATAAAAAGCACTTCTTTGTTAAATCCCCTCACTTCTCCAGCTTTTGCCTCTCCCAAGACCTTTTTGAAGATCAGTGTCCTACAGGGCTCCTCTCATCATGGGGCCAAGCTGCCCTCACAGTAAGGCTGTAGACCTGCTCTCATTTGAGTCCTTGGATGTTCTGTCACTTACAAAGCCTGCACATCAATAGTATGTGCACTGTGGGCAGAGTACCACACTGTACCTCTAGGATTGCCTTACTGTCACCGGAGTCTTCTGGCTTATCTAAAAGCTATTCCTGCCTTTCTCTGTGCACACACTGAAGTGGACCAGCTGATAAAGCACAACCCCCTAGCAGGAAGCTTCAAGAATAGAGAATGAAGATTCATTACAGGAAGCATGGGTCACATCCAGAAAAGATAAGGATATTTGGAAAAGAAAGTGGGTATATTTGCTATTTTAAAAAATGTAGGAACAGTTGAACAACAACAAAATGCCCACGTGACTTCTCCCCACTGGAAGAATATCCTGAAGTTGTGAATGTTGGTCAAGTTTTTAAAACCAGAAGCTGGGGGATAAACCCACAAGCACAAAGCTGGGAGCATTCCATAAACCTGCCTTTACAGTGCACCATTTTCTGAAATAAACACAGACTTACTGCTGCATAAACTGCAGCAAGTATCCTTCTTATTTGTAATTCATGCATCTTACAGCCAAATATGATGGTTTAAGTAGTCTTTGCCTTTGTTCTGACTGGTTTCTGCTCTCCCCCTCCTCAGCTCTCTCTGGATCCCAGTGCCCATCCCTTTCTCTTCTTTTCCAAGCCTTCTGGAGTCTTCCAGGCAATCCCTGAGACCACTGAGTGTGGGACCCCAGGACTAAGAACAATCAGAGCACTGCTGAGCTGCTGATCATGAGCTGAGCAGACAAGTCTTCAAGGAAAGTAGGAAAAGGCAAACAGACAAAGCAGAACGTATTCTACTCCTGTGAAAGGAAAAGTGGGATATATAGCATGAAATTATTCTCATTATCCTGTGACAAAACACCAGAACTCAGTGGTTTAGAAACTGAATGTGGGTTTTTTTTGCCTTATGAGTCCTCTTCCTTCCTTGCTGCAAGTCTACATGGTTCATTGCTTCCGCTAGCATTGTCAGGTTTAGTATCACCATGCAGGCTCTTCCAGCGAAGTCCAGCTCTCACAGACATTCTGCTAACAATAAATAACAACTTCAGGAGTTCTACTGGAGTTGTATTTTGCATGCAGTTTGCCCTTTGATACAACTGATGTTTGGCTGAAATATGAAGATTTGTTCTGGAAAGCAAAAGGCATCATTTAATAACTAAAGCCAGCATGATTATCTTTTGACACATGAAACACAGAGAACCAGGAAACGCCAGGACCATATAGAAGTGAATGACAAATGGAGGTATGCACTCCACCTGGCCTGCAAAGAATGGGTGTGATAGAGCTGGGAATAATGTCACCAGGAGTTCAGTGCTGTGTGCAACTTTTCTGGTGAATGAAAAGAAAATTGGTATGGTATAAGGATGAAGCAGATGTCAAGGATGGCAGAATGATTGATGAATGTACAACTGCTCTTCAGCAGTCAGTCTAAACAGTGCATCCTAAAGGGCCACAATCTTATTCCTGCTGAAATCACTGCAGGCTGCCATCTGCCTTTTCTGAACTGCCTCTAAGAAAGAAAGGAAATCTTTCAATATGCCCAAATTAAATGGAGCTGTGAAACAGGAATAAGCCCAGGAGCAGTACTGTCCTCCTAAATCTTCCAATA